CTGGATAAACCCTATCTTTACCACTGATGAACAGTGAGACCTTAGACAAGTCACTTCACCTCTCTGAGCCTAAATTTCCTTATCTGCAAAATGGGGATAGTAACTTCCTCTTTGGGTTGCTGTAAGCATTCAGTGAGGATTAATTCATGTAAGAGCTTTGAACAGTACCTGGCACACAGTGAGGTCTAAGTCAGTGTCAGCTACTATTATTATAACATGTTCAGTATGTATTTCCCCAAGGCCCCAGGAGTCCAGCCAAGACTTGGCCCCGTTCCTTTGGAGCACTGTCCTTTGAACCTGGTGCATGAGTGCAAAGCCTGGGACTCTTTGCAACGGCCTCTGAAATGCTTAGGGTCCCTCTCAGTCATGTTGACAATGAGAGTAATAATATACCAAGAAACAGTCTGATGAGTTAGCATACCTGCTAAGGAACAGACACCAAATAGTTCACAATTGACCTCCGCAGTAGCTTTATGAAATGGAAGCTGTTCCAATCCCCATTTTACAGTTGAGGAAACTGAAGTTTGGGAGACTGAATGATTGGCTAAAGGAGAGTAAGTGGTCAGGGAAGACCTGCCCAGGGAATCTGGTGCCAAACTTGTACCACCAACTGCACACCCCATGGCTCCATGTACACACACACACACACACACACACACACACACACACACAATATCTTAAAGAATAAAGAAAGCTATGTTCTCCAGCCATGTTGTTCATCATAGACAAATACCCTCAAACTCCAATTAATTCATTGATATTGATATGAATGTCATGAAATCAAGAAAACTTATTTCCTTAGATGTCTTAGTGTTCCTTTCTCCATTCTTTGAATAAATCCACATACTTTTCTTTGGGGTACTTTCTGTTAGCATGTCCCATCTTCCTTTCAGCTGCCATCGACTGCTCCCAGGTCTGGCTTGTCTAACAGGAAGGTGATCTACCATGACATTTATAGCCCTTGGTGACCAAGATTGGGTTGCCTGCTCTGGCAGAATGAAAGATGTCTGCTTCCTCTCTCACACACCCCGATGAACCTTTTTGGTCAACCTAGCCAAAGAGGTTGGGTTTCTCAGCTCAGGCAGATGTTTCAAAATGCTTTAGTCAAAGGTGGAGGAATAGTTGTGCTCCTTGGCAGATAAGCCCAAAGTTTTCCCAGTATTCTTAACTGTGTGGCCAGGATTTACATAGAAGACAGATGAATTTGAATTTGTCTTTCTGGGTCTGGGCTGCCTATCACATTTCCTCCCCTGACAAACTTCCACTGGGAAATGTCACCAGTTCTAACAGAGGTAGCTTATCTCAGCTAATCAGAGAAGCCAGAAGAAATTTACCCAACTCCAGGGAGAAACTTCAGCAGTATTCATCTTTTTATGAGATGAGGGCTCATTGGTAATAGCAAAAATATGTGGTGGCTCTTCTGTCCTTTAATTAAAAATGATTCAGCCAGATTGAGGCAGAATCATGCAATCATGCAGAAGTCATTTACAGAGCCCATAATCAGGCAGACCAAAGCTACTTATCAGCTAATGTTGCATTTGATAACTTGGAAAGCCCTTCCTGTGGTTGCTGGGTGAATAACACCCTTGGCTTGGATATAGAGATGGACAATCCAGTCCACTCTTTAAATATGGGATAGTAAATGACAAGGTAACAGTAATCAGGAAGTAGAGAGGAGACAGTAAATGGTAAAATAGACTCATAATTAAATGGCCAAAACCAATCACAGGTGGGGTGAAGCAACTGGTTTTAGTCATTTAATTGTGAGACTATGTGACATCTGTGGTACCCAGGGTGAGGTAGGGAGAAGGCCACATGAAATTCTTTCTTCCTTGTCTCCTACTTTCGCCTGAGAATACGTCCTGTTTGGATCAGAAACTTACAAACTGTGGACTACTGACAAAATGCTTGTTTCTTGAAATAAAGTATTATTGGGACACAGCTGTGAATGCTCATTTACATATTGTCTGCGCCTGTGCTAAAATGGCAGTGCTAAGTAGTTGTGATAGAAACTATGACTTGGACCATATGTCCTGCAAGGCCTACAGTATTTGCTATCTAGTCCTTCACAGAAAACATGTGTTGACCGCTGTCCTAGGTAGAATAGATACAAGATGGCGGACCTTCAGTCAGCCTGGGATCCTGAATGACTGCACAGAGCAGAGAACTTTCCCCCATCCACATGGTCCACATGACACAAAGAACCTTGTGTCTGGAGTTGCTTGTTCCTGGAGCATACCCTAACCTATTCCCACGGTTTCTATTGGGCATTCCAGAAAGGTTGTTCAGGGATTCAAGTGGCTCACTTACTTCCTTGTAAAGTGCACCACACAAGAGATGGTGATGATGACAAGGCCAATAATGATAGAGGCGATGGCCACCCACTTGGCGTTCCGCCCCAGCCGCCGGGCTCCTTCGTAGTCTCCTTCATTGTAGCTGTTCTGAGACTGGAAAACACAAAGAAAGGGACGGTGACCACAGATAATGCGCAAGAAAAGGGGTGAAGATTCTCAGGTTGCTCTTGTCAAGCCACTGTACAAGACCTTGGGGACTTTGCTCCTCTCCCTGCTGGGCTGATGAAGAAATGACACGGTTATCACCTCTTTCAGGAAAACTTTCAACTATGAGGCTGAGTTTCCCGTCTCCTCTATACTTCCTGATTATTGTCACCTTGTCATTTACTATCCCATATTTAAAGAGTGGACTGGATTGTCCATCTCTATATCCAAGCCAAGGGTGTTATTCACCCAGCACCCACAGGAAGGGCTTTCCAAGTTCTCAGATGCAACACTGGCTGGTAAGTAGCCACTACCCTGGGGCTCCTCCTCCTCCACCAGGGTCCTAACCATCCTGGCTCTTCCTGTGTATCCTCTGGACTTCTACCCCAGCATTGTAAAGGTTATTACTGGGCTCAGAAAAGCATCCTATCAGATTCTGTAACCATGCCAAATTGTTAAATATTTAAGTATTGTCTTCATTTCTAGTACTCTGAATAGTGTTTGGCACATTTCAGGAGCTCAAGAAATATGCATGAGCTGAATGGATGAGAGAATGTATGTTTTCCCACAAAATGAGTTCATTGAGGACCTCTTGGAGCTTCTTGTGCTGGCACAATACCAGGCACAGGGGAGGACTCAGAATCCTTGAGGCATAGCTGCAGAGCCCAATTTTTCTCCTTTATAATAAGATCTCTTTCTCACCCTTCTTCTAAGAATCACCCAAAAGTTGTGCTGCAACCCAAAGAAGACTGTTGTATGTATTTAAGGCAGAATCTCACTATGTAGTGCAGGCTGGCCTCGATTTCATAGAGACTCTCCTGCCTCAGCTTCCTAAGGGCTACAATTACAGGCATGTGTCACCACAACCTGTTGTATGTATTTAATACTTATGTCCAGAGGGGTTCTCTCAGTGGTATACATTGTAGATTTCATTTGGAGACTCTGTTCTTGATTCTTAAGGTGCAGAATTTCAGTAGTCATTGTCCACTTGCTCAACGAATGGGGACCAGGCGCAAGCAGACAGTGCTAAGTCAGAGAAACACCTACTACACCTCAGAAGTGTTTGCTTTCAGAACTTTTCCTTAATTCTGGAAGTTAGCAGCTTAGTCAGAAACAGACCAGGAGACATAGGACTGAGGTGGGTTTGCTTTAGGTATTTTGTATGCAGGAGAGAGTAAGAAATCATCACTGTATCATGGACTTCCGGCAAGGTGAGTTCTAGGATTCTTTATTATTATTATTATTATTATTATTATTATTATTATTATTTGGTATGGGGGTCTCACTACACAGCTCAGACTCATAGTGATCCTCCTCTCTCAGCCTCCCGAGTGCTGGGATTACAGGCATGCATCACCAAACCCAGTTTCAGGGCTGGCATGGCATGTGGTACCAGGGATTGAACTTGGAACCTTGTGCTTGCCAGGCAGGGACTTAGACCACAGAGTTATCTCCCCAGCTGCTAGGCAGCCACTCTTAATGTCCTGTGAGTCAAAATGCTTGCCACCTTTAAACTTACACATAGGGCTGGAGAGTTGGCTCAGTGGTCTAAAGCACCTACTTGGAACAAGCTTGGCAAAGCACAGGGACCGCGGTTCGATCCTCCAGCACCACATGCCAGCCAGCCGCGCCCCCTGCTGGGCTGAGCTGGCCACACACACACACACACACACACACACACACTAAATGTTTAAAAAAATTAAAAAAAAATAAATAAACTTACGTATAAGTATGGAATACATTTTGAAACTCAAGAGAGATCCAAACTCAGATTCTATGTGATAGCAGCTGGGAGAACTAGGGGAAGTTATTGGTCTTCTTAAGGCTCAGTGCCTACATCTGTGAATATGCCCCCATATTACTGCTGGGGTCAATAGTAGAAACACCTTCTTCATGCTGGAGGATCCAGGGAGTTAGTGCGTGTCAAGTGGTTAGCACTGACCCAGAACACAGTATATACTCAATAAATGTTAGTTTTCTTTGTGAATTGCCGTTGCCTTCCTGGTTCTTATTTCTAAAGTTGAGATCTTTGGGTAGATATGAGATCACCTCTCTCTACCCCTTGCTGGATCAGAATTTTTAGAGGCCCAGCTGGAGACGCTGTTTTAATTGCTTCAGAATCAAACTCACTGCGTAGACTCTTAGGGACTTCATACTCAGGGCTCTTAACCCAATTTGGAACTGTGAAGAGTCTCATCCCAAACTGATCACTATTGTTTTGTGCTTCCTAGAAAGCAACATGCAGAGACTAGTTATAGGGTTGCTTCTGTGTTGCCACAACGAAAGGAAAACTAGAGACATGGCCCATTCCACAATGTCAACTCTTGGCTTTTTCCATGAGGAACCAGTTTCATGCTCCCAGCAGCAGTGACTGGAATGGGGGTGGAAGAGCAGGTCTGTGCCCTCCTGAAGGGCAGGCGTATCTACACTCTATGAGTGGCCCACGAGCTCAGGTGAGATGGGGAGGAGGTAAGCTTGGGCCTATGAGTTGTTGGATGCAGGCCGGAGGGCCATGCTGACCATGTGGCCAGGGATGTAGGTGCAAGCCCCAGACAATTCTTGCCCCACCTTCACCAGCAGCTGCTAGGCTGCCGTCTCACCTATGACCCTCCACTCACAAGCCGCCATCTTTCTGGGGATCTTAAGAGAGACCTTGAGTGAGTCCGGAAGTGGGGCTGCTGTTGCCCTGAAAACAAGAAAAAGCCTCCTTCAATACCAAGTGTGGACTTGTCCCTTTCTACCGGAGTCCACCTCTGAAGCTATTTCCTCTTCTGGTGGTTGGAGACAGAGTTGTCCACAGGTAAATCTGCTGGATATATTCATGGAAACTAGGGAAGGATCAAGTAGAAAGCTTTAGAATTCTCAGATTTCTTTCTGAAAGACTTTCATGGTTGAAGGTCTCAGGCTCAAAGGTAGTGAACAATAAACCAGAAGAAATTCTTTCTCCTTCCCTAGGATGTGGGTTGTATTTTTTCCCCAGCGCTGAGGATTACCCCAGGGCCTCAAGCACAGTAGGCAAACGCTACCACTGGGCTACACCCTTGGGCCTTGGCTCTAGTTCTTTATCTCTATCAGCGGGAATGTCATATAAAGTACTTTTTGTCAGATGCCACAAACTAAAATGATGAAAATTGATCTTAGAGAAAAATGTAGATTTCTAAATCTTTTTTAAAAGCACTTAGGATGTAAATGATCTCATCTGGAGTGGAAGAACTAGAGAATCAGGATGGCTTCACATATTCAAAACTTAGGGCCAGGGAGATAGCTCAGTAGAATAAGCGCTTGCCTGGCAAGCGCAAGGGCCTGAGTTCAATTCACAGTTCTGAAAAAAAATATATATATACATATACATATATATATATATATATATATATATATTTACAAAATAGTTAGGATAGATATACAGCTACTTTCTCTTAATTCAGTGAGAAGAGAGATTTGTACTAATAGTGTTTGGACAGGATATCATGTCTGCATCGCGTACAATGAATAACCACGAAGACAACCATATGCAATGTATTAATTATTGAAACTGTCCTCCTAATCGGTTTTGAAACTGTCTTGTTGCTATTTGTTTCTCAATAAAATTAATAAAAAACCTTATATGATAGTATTTATTCTTTTCAAAAATTACTAATGCCATTTGTGAACACAGAAAACAGTTCAGGGGCCAGGGGGATGGCTCAGTGGAATAAGCGCTTCCCTGGCAAGTGCAAGGGCCTGAGTTCAATCCCCGGTTCCACAAAAAAAAAAAAAAAAAAAAAATAACAACCCTCTTGAAACTGTCTCATTGCTATCTGTTTATCAATAAAACTTTGAAAAAAAAAAAGAAAATAGTTCAATGCTGCAGAAGCATATACAGCAAATAGCAAAGCGTTTCTGCTGATTTTGTTTCCTAGTTTCAGTGGCTTGGGGATATTTGTTTCTACATGTTTTTTTGCATGATTAAAAAAAATAACACTGGCATGTCCCCTTGCTTCCACTTTGACAAAGAACATCATGTATCGCTGTTAGGAGAGAAAAACCTCAACAATTTTCATCCTCAGATCAGCAAAGTCAGTCTCTTTAATCCTGATCCCTCAAATATTAAAATCTTGAGTATTTGCCATAAATCTCAGCAAATACAATTTCATCCCTGCCTTTGGCAATGTCAAGGTTTAAACATACTTCCTTTGGGATGCTGTAAACTCTGAGAAGGATATTGTATTTTTTTCCCCACAAACAGATTAATATAAAACTTCCTGAAACTCTAGGTGACTTTGTATTGGTTTTTGAATGCTTGCTTTGTGATTTTTTTTTTTTTTTTTTTAATGGCTAGTTGGGCTTTGGAGTGTTGGACTTCTTTCTGTTTCTTTTTTTTCTTTATTTTTTTGTATTTTAGGGAAGGGTCTACAGGGTGTTCAGGGTCTCACTACTAGATCGGACTCATAGTGATCCTGTTTTCAGCCTCCCAAGAGCTGGGATTACAGGTGCATGCCACCACACCCAGTCTCAAACACTGTCTCAGTGCACCCCGGGGTCAGGGCCAGCATGGCAGGCCTGGAGATCAAACCCATGGCCACTGCGCCTGCTTTCAGGCATTTTAATCTGCTGAGCTATTTAGCCGGCCCTTCTTTCTGTTTCTTTCTAAGTAAATCTTTGTTTTTCTAAAGGTTTTGGCTTCTGCTGTAGTTTGGGTACCAAGTGTCTTCAAAGGCCAATGTATATGTGCTGCCAAAGTGAGCACCCTCAAAGGCCAATGTGTTAAATGCTTGATCCCAGCTTATGGTACCCCTAGGAGATGCTGAAAGGTGGGGAGAGACTTCGGTCATTGGGGGCAGGGCCTTCAGGGGGATTTGGAACCCCTGTGTGTCTGTGTCTGTGTCTGTGTCTGTGTCTGTGTCTGTGTCTGTGTCTGTGTCTGTGTGTCTGTCTTTCTACTCTTATTTTCAAAAAACTTCATAATGACA